TTTTGATTATGTAGAGATGAGTCTGCCAAGTTGCCCAGGTGGGTCTCGAACCCGCGGGCTCAGGTAATCCACTCACCTCAGCCTCCCAAAGGTGCGGGATTACAGGCTGAGTCACTGAGCCCGGCTTACTTTTTGAATTCTTTTTTTTTTTTGAGTTGGAGTCTCACTCTGTCACCCAGACTGGAGTGCAGTGGCCGCTCCCAGTCACCGCAGCCTTGACCTGCTGGGCTCCAGCGATCCTTCCGCCTCAGCCTTCCAAGTAGCTGGAATTACAGGCATGCGCTACCATGCCCAGCTGATTTTTTGATTTATTGTAGAGATGAGGTCTCGCTGCCCAGGCGGGTCTCGAACCCGTGGGCTCAGGCAATCCACTCACCTCAGCCTCCCAAAGGCGCGGGATTACAGGCTGAGCCACCGAGCCCAGCTTCTTTTTGAATTCTTTGTCACGTTTCAATATGCACAGAAAGTTCCTGCCTTGTTTGGCCAGGTGCAGTGGCTCAAGCCTATAATCCCAGCATTTTGGGAGGCCAAAGCGAGATGACTGCTTGAGCCCAGGAGTTTGAGATCAGCCTGAGCCATATAGTGAGACTTTACCTCTAAAAAAAAAGAAAAGAAAAAACTAGATTGGTGTGGTGGCACATATCTGTAGTCTCAGCTAGTTGGGAGGCTGAAGTGGAAGGATTGCCTAAGTCCATAAGGTTGAGGCTGTGGTGAGCTGTGATTGTGTCACTGTACTCCAGCCTGGGTGACAGAGTGAAACCCCAACTAAAAAATATTTCCTGACTTACAGCCAAGAGTCGGCCCCCCATTTTGCAAGAGAATAAAGCTTTATCCCCTCCCCGAACATTCTATTGGCTCATGAATTCTGATGAGAATGAATTCCTTTTCAAGTATAAAAATGAGACAAATGTGAAAGCACCTAGAGTCTCTGGTCCAAAGGAGATGAGTCATAATACATGTTGTTTCTTTTGTGTAGATGACTTGTCAATCTCACTGCATAACTCCAAAACCTTAACTTCAAAGAAGCAACTTTTAAAACTGAGATGGTAATAAAACAGGTATCCATTCTTTAGTTACTCAGCAATTACTTACTGATTTCCTAGCCAAGACCTGCAGGGAAACAGGCGCTAAAGCGGCGTGTGGTAAAACAGTCTCTTCCCTGTGACTGATTTTGGCAAAGGCTGTAGTAAGTCAGTAACCATCAGCCTGACACAATTTCAGACCCACATGCGGGTCTATTTTAAGCTCCTTGGCTAACACCACTGAAACTGCTGGACCATCTCCATGTTGTCAAAGCTAACCTCCAATACCCCTAAGGGTCTTATCATCTGCCCACAAGAACATTAGGCCAATCTGATCAAGTATTTGCTTATTTCCAAGTTTGTTCAGGGGCAAGAGAATGACTAACTGTTAAGGTTCACATTTGGGAAATGTCAGTGCATTTCTGACACTACAAAAAGCATTTGTGTAGACAAGTCAGATGTTTTTGCCCAGTGCTTTCTTTGCACCATACTATTTTTGAAGACCCCTCCTCTCTCCTTGCCTGCCCTTCTCTAACAATCCTGGGTTGTTTCAGTGCTACTTTTCAACACCTCCCTGCGTTGAGCAGTCAACAGGTGTTCTGGTGGCTAATAGTCTGTGGGGTCACAGCAGCAAACTCAAGGACCTGGCCTAGCCCCGGCCAGATGGCAATGTGATAACAAACAGCACTTTTGAAGCAAGTCCATTGGGTGTCCAAATAAAGGCCCAACTAGAAAATAGGAACAAATCCAGGCCAGAGGAGAGTCAAGGTTGAGCAACTGAAGAATCTCCTCTACTGGTAGCAGCAGTCGGTACCTTTGCAGAAAGGGCACTTTATTTATAATACACGTATCACTGAATCACGTACCTTTGAACTAGAGGACAGAACTTTCACCTCTAAATGAGATTATTTCAAAACCATTACTTTGAGAAGGCTTTATTCTGATTCCAGAAACACTGTGTCCTTCAATACTTATGACACATTCTTTTGACTATATTTAGTGGTGACAAGTACCTGTTTTTTGAGAGTGGTTGTTATTTTCAGAAATAGCCAGGTCATTCAGAACCAAGAAGAATAAGATGAGGAAATCAACACTATTCTGGTATAAAACCAAAGTGTTGGTTATAGTAGGACAAGCTGGAATTTCCTTTGCAGACTTGAAAACAATTTGAAAAGGGGCTTTTAAGAGTGCTCTGAATAATGGAAATGTCAGTGTGGAATAAGGATTGCTACCAAGGTAATAACTTTGAAGAGGTCATCTGATATGGAGATATAAATTCTGGATTCTCATTATTCTATTTTACAACCATTGGAAAAAAGTTTATAAATGTAGAGGAGTCCAGTATAAACTTCATTTCTGGGTCCTAAGACAGGAAGGTCTTAAAATAAAAAGCCTCCAGCCTGGGTGACAGGGTGAGACTCCAACTCAAAATAAATAAATAAATAGCCACTCTTGGCTTCAGTTCACCAGTCTCCCTGTCAGCAAAAGAAGGGCTAAGAGGCAGTGACACTTCTTATGTAAACCCTAAGGTTCTAAGACTCTGCCCGCACCTCATTCTATTAATAACTTATTAATATCTAACTATAGAATACATTGTACTTGGGTTCTGTGTTTCCTACTCTCTAGGAGTCCTATAATCTGAAATACTACTATGGACAGATCTATAATATTAAGAATAACTAATACTTATATAGCACTTACTACATGCTATGTACTTAGCAAGCTATATACATCAACTCACTTAATATAGTCCTCTGAATTATTAGTATTTTCATTCCCATCTTCCACATGAGAGTACTGTGGCAGGCAGAGTTGTCCAGTAAGCTGCAGAGTTTACTGGAAGCCTGGCGGTCTGGCTCCAGCTGCACCTTAATCACTACACTGTCCTATACTGCATCTCAGAGACAAGAGAGTAACAGATAAATAGATATTTAATAGGAAAAGGATAATGAAGAATACTTGCAATTTTATAGAAAAACTGAGAAGCAAAAAAAGAGAGTGTGAAGTGAGGCAGATGGACTCTTGAAAAGTGGGATGATGTCCAGATAGACTAGTCACAAAAGTTCCATGGGCAACTTGGTGATGGGCAAAAAGTTTCTCCTCTAGTTTAATCAAAGAACAGACAATAGAACAGCTTGAGAGATCCAGGAGTTACAAAGAACCAGTTTAGGTTTATTAAGCTTTTCCCTTATTACATAAAAATCAGCTAATTCAGGATTAAGAGACTCCACAGTACAGTTAACCTGATCGTTTTTATATTCAGTCCACATCACTTTGCGAACTTTATCAGCCCGTAAGCAGATGAGTAATAGACCAAAGTCAACTCATTGGTTACCACCATGCAGAATAAGTGCAATGTCTACCTGCTTTTTCCAAGGAAGCTTTCAGAAGCCACTATCTCAAAAAGAGGAGATGTATGGAAGGAGATAAACTGAAGAGCCCACAGAATGTCTTGCTTAATCACATCCAATGCCAATGCCACCCTGAGCCCGATCTCATTTCACTGATGTGGAAACTTGAGTCTCACGGAGCAGAAATGGGACTCATCGCTGGAAATGACTTAAATAAAGGTTTTCTGACTCCAAGCTCAGTCAGTGCTAGTCCCACTTCTGCAGGCTGCGTTCTACCCGTTTCCTAACCATTCAGGGCAAACGAAACCACACTGATTTCAAAGCCCTTCAGAGAACACGAGCACACGCCTGTGCTACAAGGGAAAGAATCCATGACTCTCTTGCTGTTGTTTAGACCGGTTTCCTCTCCCTGGGACTTCAGGGATGTCCAGAAAACAAAAGAAAACATTATCCGTGTTACCGCTCCTAAAATCTGCAACATATCAAATGCATTAAGCAACAGATGCTCTCGGGGATCTCTGCCATGCTTATATTCAGGCTGGGGTGGCCTGCAGGGAATTTAGTTTCCTATGGGCTAGGGGCCGCTTCTGTAGCCTATCCTGAAAAGCCTGCACCCTTAGCGAGGCGCGTGGGAGGCTGGGCCGGCGGTCCACACCACCGGCTCCCCGCAGAGGTGCCAGGGATTCGCGGAAGCCTGCCCGGCGGGGGGGCAGCACATCCCTGGGGCCCACGCACGCGGAGATGCTGGGACCGGCCCAGGCGCTTCCTCCCTCCTGGGACCGCCGCCAACTTCGCCAACGCCGCTGGTCCCCGCAGACCACAGCTCCCAAGCGCTCGCAGCTCAGCTCCACTTCCACCCGCGACACAGAGCGGTCACGTGAGGCGGGGCCTCGGAGCCAATGGGCAGCCTGCGGCGAATGGAAGGGATTGTCTGACCCCCGTGACGTCACAAAGCTGGCGGGGAGCGCGCTCCTCTTCCGCCCCCATCCCCCGCCTCCGGCCGCGGCCCTCTCCTTCTCCCCGCCCACTCGCCACCGCGCAGCCAATCAGGAGGCGGGAAGCGCTCCGGCCCAAGCGTGCGGGCGGGGCAGGGTGTCGGCCCCGCAAGGTAGGGGCGCAGAGCGGGGCGGCCAGGGGTGAGGGGCCGCGCTCCGGGAGCTGCGCGGGGCTGCGTGGAGGAAGCGCTGAGTGGTGCCGCCGCCACCGCCTCTTCGTCGGGAAGAAGCGGCTGGTCTTCCGCCTTGCCCGGTTCGTATCCCCGGCTCCCGGCCCCGAGCCGCCCCGTCTGAGTCCTTCTCCGCCCCGCCAAAGTTGTGAGGGGCGGCGG